CCACGGCATCACTAATGGTGATCTGCCACGGCATCACTAATGGTGATATGCCACGGCATCACTAATGGTGATATGCCACGGCATCACTAATGGTCATCTGCTACGGCATCACTAATGGTGATCTACCACGGCATCACTAATGGTGATCTAATACGGCATCACTAATGGTGATCTACCACGGCATCACTAATGGTTATCTGCCACGGCATCATTAATGGTGATATGCCACAGTGATATGGTGATATGCCATCATAACATGATAGATACGTCATCAATGTCACGTAGTATATCATAGATGAGCTTTTTATTTTCTCGACATTTCTATAGACAATGAATACGGAATCGTATTTCTTTCTTCCAAATAGAGTTGAAGCCACGGCGGTCACGACGACCTAGAAGCTGTGATAGACAACGCCCCAGAAGTGTAGCGGGGCCCCCACGGGTACGCTACACGCCCCGGAAATGTAGCGGGCCCCCACGGGTACGCTACACGCCCCCACCTGGCGATGGTGCGGATGTCCTGTAGCCCCACGGAGCACTTGTACTTGGGGGCGTCGAGACCGTCCCCGTCGCCTCCCATCTGCACCACCAGCCGAAGGCTCACCAGCGTGCTCAGCTGGAGCAGTGGCAAGCATTAGTGACATCTTAGTACAAACTAATACAAAAACATCAATAAACTCAACAAACTAATGGAATAAAAAATAACAACGATTTATATCAATAAAAACAGAAGTACAACCTCGTCAATAGTCAGGAGGGCTGCTGAGGGCTGCCAGTACCTGCGTCAGGAGGGCTGCTGAGGGCTGCCAGTACCTGCGTCAGGAGGGCTGCTGAGGGCTGCCAGTACCTGCGTCAGGAGGGCTGCTGAGGGCTGCCGGTACCTGCGTCAGGAGGGCTGCTGATGGCTGCCAGTACCTGCGTCAGGAGGGCTGCTGAGGGCATCTGCCTGCAGTCGCTGATGGAGTAGAAGATGGCCATGAGGCGGTCCAGAGGGAACTGCTTAGGGCCCGTGAGCTGACTGCAGGAGCGCTCCTTCGCCTGCACGACACAACCTTACGTAGGACATTCTTACTTCACCTGCACGACACAACATTACGTAGGACATTCTTACTTCACCTGCACGACACAACTTACGTAGGACATTCTTACTTTGCCTGCACGACACAACTTACGTAGGACATTCTTACTTTGCCTGCACGACACTAGAT